TTTTATGCCAGTATTATGGTTCTTTATTATTTCTGCATTCCCACCTTTTCTTTCTGCATGCTTAAGTGCTATTTTATTACATGAGGGTACTAAAGATTTATAGGGATATATCATTAGTTTTATAAAGGAAGTCAAAGTGAAAAATGAATTCAATATAGCACATTTTGTTTTAAGAATGCATGCCTTTCAGAGTAAAGTTTTATTAAGGATTTCAAACTAGGCATTAACCAAATCACACTTGAAATATCTGTGTCTAGAGAAATAAGAATCACTTTATCAGCCCCTATAATTCTTAGAGTCCTGACACTGAGGACTTCCTTAAAGACCATACTCCAACACATCTCAAGGCTCTGCATTTTACCTAAACCTTACAAATTGTGGAAATTATCAGCTTTTTAGAGATTAGCACTTGCCTTGTTAAACGGTAGTAACCCCTAAGCTCTTGCCTTCACTAATAAAGATCAATAGAAATGGATAGAATCTAAGCATGCCCCTTTGAACCACCTCTTTTATTTTCTGTTGAGTGGGTAGGAGTAAACAGAATACATTTAACAATTAGCAATGTTAAAACACAAACTTTAGGCAAATTCAGTTTTGCAGAGTTTATTTGATCAAAAAACAATTCATGAATCAGACAGTATTCAGAATTAGAAGTTCAGGAAGCTTCACCCAGCAAGGTGGGCAGGCTGTATTTATAGACAGAAAAAGGAAGTGACGTACAGAAACAGCTTGACTGGTTACAGCTTGGAATTTGCCTTACTTGGGCATAGTGTAAATAGGCATTTGCTTTATATGGGCATGATCTGATCAGTTTATAGCCTGTGATTAGCAGAAACTTCACTGCTGGGATTGACGGAGACTCAGCTATTTCTTACAAGAGCGTACCCTTAAGTTGCGTATTGCTTACATGCCAAGCTGGGTTGCAGTTTGCTATGTACAGAGGCAGCTTTAGGCCCAATTTAATTTAATTTAATTTAACAGCAACAAGCCTTTTTGCTCAGAGATCCAAAACATTTGGTGAAAACCACTAAGGTTTAAGGATTTTCTCATCTAACAAAGGTTTGTAATTTCCGTTTCCCATATCTAAATAGGACAACTCAAGTTATGTTTTTCAGCAGCTGTTTTATACCTTTGCAATCTTGGTTTCCAGATATCTAAAACAAGAAGGTTGAACTATAATATATAGTTATATTAGGTTGAAAATATATAATATAACCAGAAAAAAAGTCTTTACAAATACGAAGAAACATTTTAAGGAGGAGATATTCCACATGCAAACATAGGTTAATCCTTTAGAAATATCTGGTACACACTCAAGAAAATAAAAATAGGCACCTGCTTCCAACAAATGTATTAGAAATGTGACTTGAAAACATTTCACAGGCTTAACATGGTCAAAGAAAATGTGTTCTGAGCTCATAATGTTTCTTACATTTAGATCTTCAAAATCAAGTCACCAACAAATGCCACCTATGCCTTGTGGAGCCCAAGAAGTAATGTTTGGGGCATATTAGAAATGCTTTAATAAATTCTATGTCAAAAATGGTTTGGGAGCTTACCTATGGAGTTGTGAAGGTTCTTGTTAAAAGCAGAGATTCTTGATAGAATTATAGAAAGTCTTGGAGTGGCACCTAGCAATCTCGATTATACACAAGCTACTCAAATGTTTCTTACGCACACTAGAGATTGAGACGCAGAGCTTTAGATTGAATACATTTATATGTGCTGTTTTAAATTATAAGCCATTCTCTGGCTGCCTTTCACCTCTTCAGTTCTTACCCAGTGTTCTCTGTCCTTTATGAGTTTTTTTGCTGCGGTTTTTGTCCTCCTAACACATCTTTCCTTTCACTCTTGAGCCTTAGGAGAGGAAAAAGAATTGAAGCAATTTGATATGTAGTTAAAATGATCAAACATTGTGAAATTTTGCCTAATGCCACACCTTAGAAAAAAATTACAGAAAGTCCCCTTACCCAGATATGTGAGAGGTTTTCATCTTTTGTGGTTTCAGGTCCATCTTCTGCTGCTGTGTGAGCTCTCTGGACTGTCCTCTGTTCCTGGCTTCTACCAGGGTCCCTATTTCATGCCATTCAAGTTTCTCTTAGATCCTTTAGAACTGAATTCCTGGCCAGAAGTGGTGGCTTACGCCTGTAATTCCAGTACTTTGGGAGGCTGAGGCAGGTATATCACCTGAGGTCAAGAGTTCAAGACCAGCCTGGCCAACATGGGGAAACCCTGTCTCTACTAAAAATACCAAAAATTAGCTGAGCATGATGGTGGATGCCTATAATCCCAGCCACTTGGGAGGCTGATGCAGGAGAATTGCCTGAACATGGGAGGTGGAGGTTGCAGTGGGCCGAGATCACACCATTGCACTCCAGCCTGGGTGACAGAGCAAGACTCTGCCTCAAAAAAAAAACAAAAAAAAAAAAACTGAATTCCCTGGGTGTCAGAGTCTCAGAGTTATTTTGCTCTCTCTTAGGGGACACAAAGGGGTTCATTGACCCACTAATAATTAGTCAGCACCATTAAACCCAGAACAGGAATTGTAGTACTTCCTTACATAAACAAAGCCGCAGCTTGAGGTCTCAACATAGGCAGCCGGCCCTTCACCATATCCTCCTCTAGACCTCTCGGCCATAAGGATATTTTGTTTCCTCTACCAGGCAGACAGAGGCCAAACGTTAGGCATCTTTATACTCTCTCTTCCCTTCCTCTCTCCCTACTCCCCAATGCATCCTAGAGACTTAGAGGCAGTCAATAAATATTTATTTAATCAGTGCTTTTTACTATTCACTGCTTTTCCATGTCTGAGCCCTACCTTTCTCCACCTACCTTTCAAAATGTCCTGCTTGACAGCCTCTTTCACTCTCAAAGGGACCAAGCTGTGAATTCCAGATACCCCAGGGAATTCGTTTAACTATTACACGTTACATGCCATTAAACAGCTAAAATCTTGCATAGGGAATTGTCACTTAGGCTTATCATGGAAAAGTGATAACTGAAAGGATGGTGCAGAAACATAAAAGAACTGACCTCTAATTGTATGCAATCTGCATGTACTATTCAATTTATGACATTTGTGGTATTTCATGATTCACTTCTTAGGAAATAATAACTTAGAGTCTTGAACAATTTGATTTATCTTATTTGATGGAAATGCCTTCATTTTGTCGAAACCTACTGTTTATATTGCAATTATAGAAAGAAAAGTTTGACAATTTGCAAAAGTATAAAGATTAAGAAATAAATCACTTGCAAATCCACCACTGAGGGGTAACCTGGTTGTCATTACAAATTTTTTTCATAGTCAAGCATGTGCATGCAAATATATACACATACACAAATGTTTTAGAGAAATTAAAAAAATAGATATTTGTTCTGTAACCTGTTTTCTCACATAGTAACTGACATTATAACCTTCTCCATATCTATACATATTTGACTATGTCACCATATTAAATATTGCATAGGATTTACTCTATGAATGCACCATTACATATGTAATCAATTCCCTAGTATTTTTTAAATTAAGATCTATTTAATTAAAATCATATATAAATTTCATTAATTTCTAAATTTAAAACATGTACAAGTTCCATTGCATTTAAAAACAATCAGTAGATTGGAGTTTGGCATTTCTCAAGCAATTCCCTCATATTGAATATTTGAGTTCTTTCTATTTTGTTTTATCAATCATAGATGATGCTATAAATAACATTTTTCCACCTATATCTCTGTATCTTTTTCCAGTTTCTTTGTTAGTATAAATTCCTTGAATTTAAGCCTGTGGGTCATTGTATTCGCACATTTTAAAGACTTTTAGGTATTGTCAAATTATCCTTCAGAAAGTTTAGAACAATTTAATTTCAGTAGGTAAGTATTCTTTGGTGATTCTGTTTGACTAAGGCCAAAAGGAGAATTGTATTTGAAATGTCAGGCTAAGTTACCAAATGGCTAAGAGAAATGTTGCTTTACCTGATTGCTTTGCTTTATATTTCAATCTTTGCAGCATTAAAGACTTTATTATATTTATGTTATAGGTAGCATTATTAGGAATTAATTAGTAATTGCTGATAATAACTGAATGATTCAGCATAATTTCTAATTTACCTGAAATAAAGCTTTGCTAATGCTCTGCTCTTCTTCTTTGTTTTCTGGATGATGATTTGTTTTATTAATTTAGCTTCTCATCTTCAAGTGAAATGTGGATTTTATAGCATAGATCATTCATTTGTGTGTTCTTAAATGGCTTCTAAGGACTAACATTTTCTAAATACAGTTGACAGTAAAGTACTCAGTTTCCTGCCTAAATTATTCACGTTCAGGGGAAGCTTTCGGATAAATGTCTGATTTTACTCTTCCATGTGAGTTGTTGTCTTAGTACTTTTTACACAAAGGAAACAAAGCAGAAAATGTTGGAACTTGGTGAAGACAAATCCCAGGTGCACACAAATAAAGGAGGGTAGGGGAAAAGGAGAAGCATTTGGGAAGAGGAGCAGAAAGGAACAGACGCCAGATGGAAGAACTCAACGGAAAAGGCTGCCTAGGGTGTAGAAACGGAAAAGTCAAGATGTGGGGAGAGACCTTTCCATTTCTCAAGGCAGAAATAATTCCAGTACTAGCATGAGTCACATGTAAATGAAGTGTTTTTTGTTAGTCACTGCATCCAATTTTTCTACCAGAAATATTAAGAATCATTGACTTCAACAGTATGGAAAAGCAATAGATTCCAGTGTATATTTCATGCCAAAAGTCTCCGCATTATGCATGTGGAAATAAACGTATGGCTAAACACTGCCCTTTCTCAAAATTGCCATCAAACTATCCCCCATTTTATGGCTCTCAAAACTAAGTAGGCAGATTTTTATTGAAGGCTGCTTTGTAGTTCACATGTACTTTTTTATTTTAAAAAGTACCAATGTACTTTTCTAACAGAATTGTTAGAATCATCAATTATACTTCTCGATATTCTGACATAGCATGCTGCTGTTATTTTTCAGGTCTCATTTGGAAGCCAGTTCTGACCGGTGGAAGCGTCTGCACCTTTCTCTACAGGAGCTTCTGGTGTGGCTACAGCTGAAAGATGATGAATTAAGCCGGCAGGCACCTATTGGAGGCGACTTTCCAGCAGTTCAGAAGCAGAACGATGTACATAGGGTAGGACATTTTTAAGCCTAGCGCCTTGCACATGTTAAACGCATAGTAATCCAGTGACTATTTTAAAATCAATTTTGGTTGAAATTAAGTTGAATAAAAATCTTTATTACTCCTCTCACCCAAGGGACAATTAAAAGTAATCCAAGCCATTATATTTTAAATATCAACCACATCTGCATTAATAATACCCTTTTAAGAAATCGTTCATCTCTTTTGGCTATTTAAAAAAACTTTTCATTATGAAAAATATTGAACATATATAAAAGTAGACAGAGTGCTATAATAAAACTCATGTACTCATCAAGATATCAACAATTATCAACTCATGTCAGATCTTATTCATTCATTCATTCTATAGCTCTTACCCCATTATTTTAAAGCAAATATCAAGTATGTGTTATTTTATTTGTTGATATTTCAAAAGGTTAAAAGATAGGATTCACTCTTTTAAGGTAATCACCTTGCTACTATAATACTTTTGAAATATCAATAATTGCATCATATCAAATACCCAGTCCATATTCAAATTTCTATTTTTCTCATATATCTTATGTAGTTTTTAAACATTTTCTGGTCTTGGTTTAAATAAAAATTGAAATTAGACCCACACCTTTTTTGGTTAATTGGTCTTTTTATTGCTTTTTATTTGTACATAATTACAGATTCACAGTAAGTTTCTACGATAGTATAGTTTCCCTGTAACTTTCACCCTGTTTCCTCTCTTCATTCTTATGGAACTGTAGTACAATTCTTATTGTCATTTCAATATGCAATCAATATAAAAATGTACATTTACAAAACATCTTAATTCAGGCTCATTACATTCCAAGTACTCAGTAGCCAGGTGTTTCCAGTAGCTACCAATTGAATAGGGCATTTCTATAGTTTGATCATATTTGGGTTTGGCTTTTTTGGCAAGACTGCTTCACAGGTGTTTGTGCATCCTTCCATCATCAGGAGATGGTATATAGTGTCTTGTTTTTTCTTTTTGTGTGATGTTTAATAGCTGTTAATGATCAGTGGCTAGGGGTTGCAGTGTGATAACTGCCTATTCCTATCATTCCTTCTTCACTCATTCACTGGGGTAGGTCTATGAAAACAAATGTTTTGCACTTGTCTCCTATTTTGGTACTCAGTATAACTTCATATTGGATAAGCATACATGTTTCAATTTTACCAGTTTTCAGAATAACAAGTTGTTCACTAGCATCCTCCAATGATAACCAATTGTTTCTTTTTCTTTTTTTTTTTTTTTTTGGCTTTATTTTTACTTACATTTCTATCTTCTCTACTAAGCGCTGAGTGAAAAAGGCAGAGATTTTGTTCTGTTCACTTCTGAGACCCTAGACCCTAGCGAAGTGTCTACTGTAGAATGAATACCATTAAGTGTTTTTGAAATGAGAATAAAAGGTACAAGAACAGAAATGAATAGCAAACCAAACATATTACTACCAAATAATAAAAACTACTTGATAAAATGGTGCTGCTTTTTAATGTTTAGCATAAAGGAAATATGTCTGTGGATACACCACCAAAGGTGGCATCTTGAGGAAAGGTCAAGGGTTTATTTTATTCTGGAAAAGAGGATATAGAAAATTTAAAAAGGGAAGAGAATATGAAAGAAGACCCAGGGGTCTTTGCAAAAAATGCCAGGGAAACTGCCAATTTCTCCTTTAGCTGTCTGTCGTCATATATTTCTGAATATTAAATTACCTTTTGAAGTAGGGTGAAATTTAATGGTACTATATGTTTTAAATGTTCTGACTTTGAATAAACAGCCAAAACACTCTGGTATACATATAGAAAATCATTCATTGAGAAGGATGGGCCTTTTTAAAAAAATGCATTATGTGATACAGTGAAATGAGACAGAATTTCTACAAAAGATGAATTTTATGCTAGTTCTAGAAACCAAAGAAAATGAATCATTGGACATGTGCACTAGGAGTCAGGAGACTGAGATTCTAGTCACATTCCTTCATAACATGGATTCTGATTGCTATTTTGTTCCTCAACTGTAATATGAGGAAATTGGTCCAAATAATTGCTGTGGTTTCTTCTAGCCGGTATTTTGTTAGAAATCCTGCTTCACTATTCCTGGTTATTTGTTTCGGTTCCTTATTAAGAGTGGTAAATTGTTTGTGCTTAGTCCTTACTATGCATCTCATGACAAATTACATGACTTGGGGAGATGGTGATGCTAGAGTTGTGAGTGATACTCACCAGAATAAAGTTAATTAATCCCCACTTGGTTAGTGTGCTTGCTCAGAAAGCTACCTGATACCTTTCTGGAATTTCACAAGATTTCCTGCCCATTGATCACTCTGTGTTTTATACATTAGTTCCTCTGCCCTTCCATATTTACCGCCTTCTAAATATAACTCAGATTCAATTATCTAAATTTGAATAACTTGTTTTCAAAACTCTAAACCCCTTTGCTTTTTATCTTTTTGTTGCTGCAATCCACAAAACTCCAAAAATTGGAGACTCTAACTAAATATTTTCTCATACTAGACAACAACATAGTAGACTGGTACAGTACCTTCCCTGGATGACCAGCATTCAGCCTTCTACTACCAAGATATCACTGGGTCAATTCACCTTCAAAATAGTTTTTGACTGTCTACCGTTGTCATCATCATAATTATAAGAGACCATTTCTCCTAACCTTTCCACATCTACTCTTGCCACCCTACAATGCAATCTCTACATTTCAGTCAGAATAACCTGTGTAAAAAACATAAATCCAATTATATCAGTCCTTGTCTTAACAATATAGTAGTTTTTTCAGTGCTCTTGGAAAAAGACCAAAATCCTCAACCAGGGTGACAAGGCAGTATCCAGCTTGTCTGGCCTCAACCTTCTCTTTTCCTGATGCTCTTCCCTGGCTGTTTCAACAGCAGCCATACTGCCTCTCTTTCCTTTTTCCAGTTCTGCAATGTCCCTCTTAGGTGGGGCCTTAAACATGCTGGTCCTCTGTCTCAAACCCTTTTACCCATACTCACCCACTCATAATATTGTGGTTATCATCTAATAATCCTTTCCATATTGGCTCAGACATTCTGCAAGCTTTTCTCTGTTGCCTCCATTTGACCAAATTTCCCTTTACACACTCTCCTAAAATTGTCTACTTTTCTATAACATAGAATTCTTTGTCATCATGTTCACGTGTTACTATTTGATTAATGTCAACCACTCGTGCTAAACCATGTCCTTCAGAGAGATTTTGGGGAGGAGGAAAGCTGTCATTTTTCTATCCAGCACATTCCAAAGTGCCTAGTACATGGTAGACACTGAATAGATAAAGGATATTGAGACCAAGGGCAGGGAAAGAATAGACTGATATTCCTTCCTTATGTACAGGATTTGTTGGTTTATTCCTAACTAAGCGTCTTTTTGTAAAGTGCGTAGAGCTACTTTGGTGCACACTGCTTGTTTGTTTTATACTTTAAGTTCCGGGGTACATGTACAGAACGTGCACGTTTGTTACATAGGTACACTCGTGCCACGGTGGTTTGCTGCACTCATCAACCCCTCATCTACATTCGGTATTTCTCCTAATGCTATCCCTCCCCTACCCCGCCCCACTCCCCGCAGGACCCAGTATGTGATGTTCACCTTCCTGTGTCCATGTGTTCTCATTGTTCAATTCCCACTTATGAGTGAGAACATGCGATGTTTGGTTTTCTGTTCCTGTGTTAGTTTGCCGAGAATGATGGTTTCCAGCTTCATCTATGTCCCTGCAAAGGACATGAACTCATCCTTTTTTATGGCTGCATAGTATTCAATGGTGTATATGTGCCACATTTTCTTTATCCAGTCTGTCATTGATGGGCATTTGGGTTGGTTCCAAGTCTTTGCTATTGTGAATAGTGCTGCAATAAACATACAATGGATACTGTATTTACTTGTAGTTTGGCCCAATGCTTTTTCAAGCTTCTCTTGGTATTTTTAAGAAAAATTCTTGACACGAACCACTCCTTCCTCAAACAACATCATCAATCCTGAGTGCTGATGAGACAACAATTTAGTAGTCTGTTTGACTCAAAGTTTTGTCAACTTGGTGGTATATGGTATCCCTTTCATATATGGGATATCTAGTTAGTGATGCTCTTGATATGGACAAAACAACAATGGAAAACCCTTGAAACTGGGTCTCTCTATCAGATCTCCTGAATTCAATTAGGAAAAGAGAAAGAAAAAACAGTCAGTACAAAACTCCATCAAGATCTAATAGTTGACAGATCTAATATTTGTGGACTTTGGTTTACTTTGCCATGTTTCCAGGATGGTAAATTGTATTGCTCTTTATGGGTTTCTTGATTTAATTGTTGTTTATATAGATTGCTTGTTATCAAGATGGGTCACTGTAATTGTAAATGTATTCCCTATGTATTTGGAGTGCCACTTTAAAAAAATCATCTGCTTACTGTCTATTGTAAATTATTAATGCCCTTTGCTGTTGCTTTTTATGGGGATACAAATTCCCTTAAAATGTCAACAGTCGAAACTACAATCAAGTATTTTTCATGTTCACTTTTATATTCTATAAATCAGGATGTTTATAAAACAGGTAATTTTTATTTTTTTGGTATCATTTCAGATTAGTGATAACATTTTGTAGCAAAATATTCCATGTCTTGTACTCTTTTCTTGTAGGGAAAATATGAAGTCAATATCAATTGCTGTGATGGAGAGAGAGATGGTTCTTCTGTAGGTAAATTCCAAGATACTCCACAGAGGTGTTTGTGGACTATAGTCTCATTCCTCAAAGCAATTTTCACACACATGGGAGGAGATCTGTGTTCCCCAGACCAGCTGGGCAGCACAACACCTGCAACTGAATGGCTCTCAAGACTAATTAATAAAATAATGCTGCAGATGCAGTGAAGTGTTATAAATAATTAAAGCTCAAATGTGCCTTAGCAAATATAAACTGACCAATTTTTATATCTTTTGAATACATTATCCTGGCTTTTACAGTTCCTCATTACTTGCCTCACTAGACTGACTCGTTTTCAATTAGTGTATATTATTCTGGTCCAGATATATTTTTAAAACTGACTTCCTTTGTTTTACTTGAGCAGTCACTAAAGTGATATTTATTACTTGTCTAATCCTGTGATTAACCTAGAGAGAGTTTTAAAGGAGCAAATCATAGTGGGGAATTTCTAAGGAGAACTGCAGTAAAATATCAGCTTATTCAATTCCCATCCTCCTACTCCAAATGCAAATGGAGATGAGATCTTGATTATAAGAACAGTGTAGGTAATGACTTTTTGTTTGCATTTTTACTGATGAAATTATTTGTCACTAGATTTTCATCTTTCAATTAAAAAAATCTCTATAATCCCTTCCCTAGAGAACATTAAGGACACCTTCAAAGCTTCCTGAGATTTTCTGGTTAAGATTTAGATGGCAGTAATCAATACATACATTATTAAAAGAGTGGACAGAAAACCATTATTGCTTGGATGCTGTTGACAAATGAAAAGGCTTGAATAAAGTAGTTTACTTGTTCGTTTGTCAGGTCATATATTATGCATGTTCGATTTTCTCAGGAGTCACCACAAAGGGAGAGAGAGGCTTAGAAATTCAGTAAAATTATCCTGAAATCATGTTGTAGATTATACATGTATTTAAGCTAATTCTGTTATCAATGCTGGCCTGCTTACATGGGATACATTTTAGTATGTATATTAGCTTGATGAGTTTTCTTTGTTTTCTTTTTGCAGAAATAGAAAATATCTTTGGGTGCCATTTGTGAATGTTAAGATTTAAGTCAGCTCTGTGTTAAGAAAAATGTGTTGTTCCCTATCACCTCTGAAAAACAACAAAAAGTTGGGGTAGAGTGATTCTTTCTAGCATTCAATGACCTGGCCTCTTGAAGTTTCTAAACAACTTGACTGTTAGTTATATCTACTCTAAGATGTCTTTTTAGCCGTGTTGGAGGAAATAGACATCTTTTTGATCTATTCTTCATCATTTTTGTATAAGGTTGATATCCTATGCAGTCATATTTAGGGATGCTGAATAGAAATGACTTAAAACTTATTTTTAGAACTGCATTTCTAGGCATTTGAGTCTTCTGAAAACTAAGTCTAAGTCTTCTGAAAACTAGCTTTATCATCAAAACTGAAGAACTGAGTCATCTAGGAATTGCTGCTTTTCTTTACCGACTGTAGCAAGATGAGATGTGAATAATTCACAAACTGACTTCTCTACCAAAGTCTTCTCTCTAATATTTTGATATCTTGACAAATACTCTTTTAAATAGTATCTGTATAGTGTTTTGCCTTTACAACGTACTTTTATACACATTATACATTTAATCACAAATGATTCCTTGATCTTTTTCTGTGCTCTTCCCTTTTCCCCCAAAAATAAATTATTTTAGGAAAAATTATGCCATAACACAGATTCCTAGAATATATATTGATTATTTCAGGACATTTATTTATGAAGAGTCTACTCTGTGTTAAGGATATGTTAGTGAACAAAATGAGTCTCTGCCCCTATGGATATTTAGATTTTTAGTGGCAGAAATACATAGTAAACCACTAAGTTAATACATGAAGTTATGTCATGTAGTAAGTGCTATGAAGAGAAAATAAACAAAACATGAATAGAGAAAGACTGAGGAGTACTGGCCTATGTGAGGAGGTTATTCTGGGTAAAGACTTGTGTGAGGCTGAGCACGGTGGCTCATGCCTGATCCCATCCCTTTGGGAGGCTGTAGCAGGCAGATCCCTGGACGTCAAGAGTTTGAGACCAGCCTACGCAACATAGTGAAATCCCATGTCTACCACAAATTGGCCAGGCGTGGTGGTGTGCACCTATACTCCCAGCTACTCAGGAGGCTGAGGTATGAGAATTGCTTGAACCCGAGAGACAGAGGTTGCAGTGAACTGAGATTGTGCCACTGCATGCCAGCCTGGGTGACAGAGTGAGACCCTGTCTCAAACAAACAAACAAAACCTGTGTGAGTGAGTGAGTGAGCCAAGGTACCACAAAATCCTTGAATGAAAAGGATTCTAAACAGAAGAAGCACCAAATCCAAAAGCCTATAATGTAAGAACAGGTTTAGAGTGTTGCAGAAATAGCAAGATGGGCTATGTATCTCAGGGGTAGTAAGATCAGTAGACAGTGATAGGTTCTAGAAAGACGGAAAGGCCAGATAATGAATGGTCTTGCAGGCCATAGTTTGGAGGTGGATTTTATTCTGTGTATAATGAGATATCACTGGAAGGCTCTCAGCAGGGATGATGTGATCTGATTTATGTGGTTAGAAGTTGACTCTTGCTGATATGGAGAATTGACTATAAAAAGAGCAAATCTGAAGACACAGAAAAAGTTAGGAGGTAGGTGAAGTCATCTCAGAAGGAAATGATTACTTGGACTAGAGTGGAAATGATAGATATGGTGAATAATTATTTGATACAAGATATATTTTAAAGGTAGAATTGATAGCACTTAAGATAATAGAATGTGGCACGTGAGAGGAAGCAAAAAGTCAAGGGTAATTCTGAGGTCTATGGCTTGAACAAATAAAATAATGATGTTGCCATCTGAGGAAGACTTTGGAATTATCATGTTTGAGGGGATGTGCTTAAAACAAATCAGGGTTCCATTTTTGAATTACGTTGATAGACACACACAAATGGTATGATTCAGAAATTATTTACCACTTACACTTGACAGTCTCAAATTTTGGCTCAGTCTCTTGAGAATGCATACAAATTAATTTGTCACAGGTTTTTCTAATAATCCATTCATTTTTGCTATCATTTCAAAAGTAATTTCCAAAACTTAAAGTTTAGGATCAATGACCTAAGACCTAATTCACTAAATGGTCATGGGAACAGATTGAGTTTTTACCAGTGATCCCTCAAGGTCAGCTCAGAACTTAACAACATTATTGTCAGTAGGAAGTAACTTCCCCAGTGATTGTTGGAAGCAGCCCAGCCTTAGAATTGAGAGTCAAACAGCTGTTGAAGATGCTGTGTGCGCACTGAACTATTCCTCCATAGTATCACAGACCTGCAAGCAGGCTGGATTGTTCTAGCCCATGCCCTTGATCTCAGAGAATCCAATTTTTGTTTTCAAAGACTTCCAGAAAAATAAATCTCAACACAGAGTTTGTTAAACACATTTTCCCCTTAAACACTCAAAAATGTTTTTTCACTGAATGTGATTCGATTTCAAAAAAATAATTTCAGGCCTGAAATATGTTCATTTACTTTTCCATTTTATGTCAAATTTATTCAATTTCATGTATAAATTAATATTGTTCATGTTGTTGACTGTCTGAAACAAGGGCTGGATGTATCTAATACTTCAATTCCTTATCTTCACTTTTATTCAGAAGTGGGGTGAAAATAAGATGGAACTTTTTTTCTTCTTATTTAGATGATTACGTAGTTGAACTGATAGAAGCAGAGAGTAGAGAAATGGTGTCAGATGTTGTGGGGGGGAGTTGTTGCTCAATAGATATAAAGTTTCAGTTATGCAAGATGAAAAAGCTCTCGAGATCTGCTCTATAATATTGTGCCTGTAGTTAACAGTACTGATTTCTGCACTTGAAAATGTGTTAACAGGATAAAGTTCATATTAAGTGTTCTTATCTCAATAAGAAAAGATGAATATGGCCTTTTCATTATAGCCCAGATACCCATGTTTATAACTTCTGTAATACTAGCTCTCTCAAATGAATGTTAAGGGAAATTTCTCTTTTTGTTGTTTGCTCCATTGCCTCTTTCTTCAAATGTTTTTCTTCCGTGAACCCCTATGAATTTGCTTTAGATTCTTGGGGGCAATATTCTTGCAACCCTGCCCTGCAGATTCCTGGATTCCTTGCCCTTTTCCAAGGCCTCAC